ACATGTACCTTCACTCCTTTGAGTTGTGAGTTCCACATTTGCCCATGGTCATCCTGCTTGGGGGACAGTGGTTCCCCTTGTGTCCTCAGCCCCCCAGTCAATCTAAAAGAGTCAGTTTGCACACTGTCCTGCTTGGGTTATTGTTTGGAGGGAGTGGTAACTTCTGACCCCTTCCTGCTGCCAGGAAACTCTGCAGACCACTGTCTCATTTTTTAAAATCATCTATTTATAGATATTGATAGGAGCCTTTCTTTCTTCTTCTTTTAATTACTGAGGACCTTTGAGATTCAGACAGCACAGGTTTGGAGATTGGCAATTACAGTGTTTCAAACCATTCTCTAAACATTAGGTTGAAAAATAAATTTACTCATCTTTAGATAAGAGTATAAAGAAAATTGTTTCCAGTTAAGGAGTATATTTCCATAAAGGATATTAAATTCAGAAAGTTTTTCTCATGGTTTTCAACTTAAAAAAATCACCGATCTGCAGCACAGGGTGGTAAAGGAGAGACAGACAGACAGATACACACACACACACACACACACACACACACACACACACACAGTGGGAGGAAAAAGAGAGAGAGACCAAGTTGTCCAATCTTAAGTGAACCTCAGTTCTAAATCTAAACTTTCTCAACCATTTGTGAGTGTTGACAGGCACTTCTCTGCCACATATGAGAGCAAATAACAGACCCTGGTGTCAAGTCACATCTCCCATAACTGAGGAACCTACCTTGAATAACTGAGTTGTTACCCATGGTGGTGAATGATTCCATCCATTGGCATTTTTGCGTGCCACTAGCATCTTGCAATGCATTCCATGTCTCTTTCTCTGACTTTTTGGCACACAGTGTTTACATTTGGGGCTGTAGAGTATTCATGCCGGAAAGCCCTTTGGTAATGTACAAGGCAAGCTGCCTTGTTTGGAGTCAGAGAGTTCTAGGCCTTGGCTCAGTTCTACCGTTTGAGTGGGTAGCTTTCCTGAAACTCAGTCCTCTCATTTGCAAAGTAAGAATGGAAAATAAAAGTCTCCCATGGGTGCCAGGGTCAGAGGAGATAACATGTGCAGGGTGTATGGGGAACATCAGTTCCTTCTCCTCGCCCTTCTAACACAGTTCAGCCTCTAAGTGCTGTGATGACGTGTGGAGGGCACCAGTGACAACCAGTGTACTTTATTTGGGCCAAACAGTGTTTTATTTTACATTTTTAATTATTTGCTGTGGTGGCTAATTTTATATCAACTTGATTGTGATTGATATATTATGTACCCCAATAAACTTATCTGGGGGTCAGAGACAGAACAGCCACTATATTAAACATAGGTTCAGGCAGTGGTAGCACACACCTTTAATCCTAGCATTCCAGAAGCAGAGAATCTCTGGATCTCTGTGAGTTCAAAGCCACACTGGAAACAGCCAGACATAGTGACAAACACCTTTAATCCCAGGAAGTGATGGCAGGAAGCACAAAGGTATATAAGGTGTGAGGACCAGGAACTAGAGCCTTTTTAAGCTTTTAGCTTTTAGCAGCAGTTCAGCTGAGATCCATTCGGATGAGAACTCAGAGGCTTCCAGTTTGAGAAAACAATATCAGCTGAGAAGTTGGCTGTGGCCTGTTCTGTTTCTCTGATCTTTCACCCCAATACCTGGCTCCGGGTTTGTTTTTATTAATAAGACATTTTAAGATTCGTGCTATACTTGATACAAGGTAGAGTTATCTGAAAGGAGAAAAGCTTAACTGAGAAAATGCCTCTATAAGGTTGGGCTGTAGGCAAGCCTGTAGAACAGTGATTCCCAACCTATGGTCATGATCCCCAAGGGGTCACATAGCAGATATTCTGCATATCAGATATTTACACTGCAATTCACAGCAATAGCAACATTACAGTTATGAAGTAGCAACGAAATAATTTTATGGTTGGAGGTCACCATAACATGAGGAACTGTATTAAAGGGTCTCAGCATTAGGCAGGTTGAGAACCACTGCTGTAGAACATTTCTTTAATTTGTGATTGATAGGTGAGGGCCCAATCCATTGTGGGTGGTACCATCCCTGTGCTGGTGTCCCGGGTTCTATAAGAAAGCTGAGTAAGCCATGGGAAGCAAGCCAATAAGCAGCACCCCTCCATGGCCTCTGCATCAGCTCCTGCCACTGGGTTCCTGCCTTATTTGAGTTCCTGTCCTGGCTTCCTTCAGTGATGAACAGCAATGCTGAAGTGTAAGCCAAATAAACTCTTTCCTCCCCAAGTTGCTTTTTGGTCATGGTGTTTCATTGCAGCAATAGAAACCCTAACTAAGACATTTGCCAATATTTAAACCCTGAGTTGACACAACATCTAGCATTGGGGCTTCTGAAACTTGCGGTGAGTAGACTCCCATGGGCATTCATTGATGGAGTCAAGTCTGTTTCCCCTCTTTGTCTCCAGAACTCACTACCCTTATTTTCTGACCCTGGCTTCCTTCACAAGATATTTGTGCTGGGCATTGAAAACACAGATAAAGCACAGAATCAGTGAAGGCAGGCTGGCTGAGGACACTGGGAGCTAGCTGGGCTTTGAAATGGGTTCATGGGCTTAAAGTACTTGTCTAACAGATATGAGCATCAGTGTGGGTTTCTGACTGGACCTCCATTCAATCTGAGCATCACCTGCGAACCCTTAAAGGGCTTCCTTTGTATTTATAGGTCAGTAATGAAATGTTTAGTGTGGTACTCTGAAATTATTTCATACATATAAAAATTAGAAAGGAAAAGGTATTTCCAGTACAAGCCTAGCCTTTGTGAGGGCTGCATGTCCCCCATCTGCCACCATCCCCCACCCTGCCAGCAACTATGCAAGAGGTTCCCCGTGAGCTGTTTTGTAATCTTTTTAGAGGAATTCAAACAGGTAAAGGTAGAGGGGAGTCTGGGAAAGTTGACTAGGCCACTCTTTTTAAGTTGAACTAAAGGGGAATGTTAAAGCACTTATCTGAGTAAATTAGTCCATGGTAAATCGAAGAAATTCACACCCAACATGAACATGTTGTGTGAACCGTGGAGCTGAGAGTCTCAGTCTCCACTTTAGTGTTCCAGGGGAGACCTGGCCTAAGAATGTTTTCCAGAGGCTGTGGTGTTGGGACAGCAACAATAAAATAGAGTTAAAGTGGCCCCTGCCCAGAGCGTTGATAATGGCAGGCCTAGACGCTGGCTTCCCCACAGTGCAGCTGGCCCAGAAGGGGCTTACAAAGATAGTCATGTCTTCACATAGAAAGAGAGGGTGCCGGTGCCCAAAGAGGTCAGACTGGCTGGCCTCTTACCCTGCTCATCATTTCTTCCTCCAGGAGACATTGTAGGTGATTTTCACTCATCCGTCTTAAATAAATGTCTTTTGTTCCACTAACTTTTAGCAATTAAAAGGGCAAGTTAATCTTGGGGCTGTTCTTCTTTCAAAGCAGAGAATTAAAAGATGATTATAACTACAGGCAAGAAAGCATTTGGATTATGCATCATTTAGAAACGATAATAAAGATTATCCATATGTCTCCTGTTCCAGCACCCGCAGTTGCATTAGCAATCACCTGACATGGGTGTGGTTGTGACTATGTGGCTCATTTTCAGTTCTGCCATGTCCTAGGTCAATCAGTGTCAGGATGATTTGCTAGAAATCACCGCCATTCTTGTTTTAAATGGTAATAGGCCTAGCTTGGTCAGAGTTTGAATATTTTCTCTTCTTTTTCCTTTCCTTTAAAAATGTTTTATATTATTTTAAAAAACATGAAAACAGAACTATATCACTCTCCTCCTCCGCTTTCTTCCCCCAGTCACTGGCATGTCTCTCCATTCTCCAGTTGCTAGCCTTTTTCTTTTCTTCAATTATGATTGTATATACATGTCTGTGTATGAGCAAATACAGAAATGCAGCCTGCTGTGTTCATTTTGATAGTGTGTATTATGGTTTCAAGGCTGACTATGCTGCACTGGACAAGAAGTTCATCCCTGGGAGAGACCGATTTCCTCCTAGCATTCATCTGTTGCCTGTAGTTGTCTGTGTATGGCTGAGACCCCAGGAAAATCCCCCTTTTCCATGTTAGCAGTCTGTTGATCCTGCCATTGTTCTGGCCATGTTCATGGGCCATTTCCAGGAGAGACTTCCACAGCAGGCTTGGTCTTCTAACACCTTCAGGGCTTCATTTTTCCTATAGTGTTTTGAATTCCATCCTTGTCTGTCTTGGGTACATAATCACTCGTGATAAGATCTGCAGAAGTGTGTCTTATCTGCTTTTTTAAATGTCATTTTCCATTGGGCTTTCATATAGGCAGCTGTCACTTTACATAATGGGGATACAAAGGTCTGTATCCCTCCCAGTTCAGGGACTTCATCCCTGTTCAGGGACTTTGTGCATTTCCTTCTGCCGAGGAGAACTTAACCCTGTTGCAAGTTAGGTTGGCTATAGTCCACGTCGTTTCGACACAGAATAATTGCAGTTCACTGAGGTGTAACCCTGTCACAGATTGAGAATTTGTAGTCCGATTTTTCCCTGGCAAATATGTATTAGCATCTACTTTTTGACACTGCATCTCAGACGGTTATTTAATAAGAAGCTAGTAACTCTGGGAGCTTAGCAGCTGACAGATGATGACAATCATCTTGGGGTCATTGGTGATCTGGGGTTTGCTGTTATAGGCAAAGCTCTGTCTCTGTTGGTGGTTGCTGCTGCTGCTGCTGCTGTTGTTATTGTTGTTGCTGTTGCTGCTGCTGTTGTTGCTGCTGCTCTTGTTGTTGCTACTGTTGTTGTTGCTGCTGTTGCTGCTGCTGTGGTTAAGAGAGGAAGTGGATGTTTTCTATTTCTGTGTGTGCAGCCTGGCAGGATACATCACATGACATGGATAAGGCATACAAATCAACGCAAGAGTGAATGATTGATGTGGTAGAGGTTATTCCTGAACATGAGTTTGTGTTTGTGCCACGACTCTGTCTTCCATCGGCATGCACGTCTACATGACTGAACTCTTTGTCCCAAGGAAACTGGCCAAGAAGAGGAAGGAGACGATGAGCAGCACCCGGCAGGAGATGACCGTGATGGTGAATTCTATGGACAAGAGCTATGCCGAGCAAGGCACGAACTGTGACGAGGCGTTCTCCTTCATGGACACGCACAACCTGAATGGGAGATGTAAGTGTCCGCACTGCCTGGCTTTGCCTATGTCCGCTGGGCTAGACAGGCTTCCAGTAGCTCTGTGCGATTAAAACCCCAAATCCTCTTACAGCATTCTCACACAGAATGCTTTTTCCAGTCTCAGTTGCTTAGTGAAGGTGTTTTTCTAAAGATACTGGGACCTATGGCAGTGAGCCCAGGGATCCACAGTGACATGTCTTTCAGCCCTTTGAGCTCCGTGACACAAAGGCCCCCCTCTGGCTGAGGCTGCACCTGTGCCCCTCACCCCTTTTGTTGTGGAGATCCCATTTGTGAGCCAGCCAGGTGTGGAACTGCACCCGGGAAGTCTGTTGGGAGACAGGTCATTAACTGGCAGTAACAAGTTAATTGTTTGTTTGTTCAGCCGACAGGTTCTGCCTTTATTATAGGGCAATTAGTGGCAATTAATAAATTAAAATGTGCTTCAGCGTATCTTAAGCTTCACATCAAGTGGGCTAACGGTGCCCAACCAATGCCTACCTGTGCTATCACCCGTGATCCCTGGACAGGCAGTATTTTGAGAGATCATCAGTTCAATTGATTATACGAGCTGCAAAACTGGAGGCCTTTTCCATCCCCGATTGTGTTGTCAATGACCGGAGGTAAATCCCACAGTTGGGCCTGATGTCATGGTTCATGGCACACACTCATCAAGTCCAAAGATAGGGTGTCTTTGTGTGAAATCCATACATACAGACCACTGCAGGATGTCATCAGCACGTGGGCACAACAGCACAGCTGTGACCAAAGCAGTGCACAGAAAGGCTGGTGGTGGGGCTCACGACTGTGAGAAGCATGGAGATGGGGTCTAGGGGATCACTGGTAGCTGTGGACTGCGTCTGCTGGCCGGCCACCTGACCACACCTCTCGGCTAGCGGATGCTGGGCTGCCAGCTTCTCCTCTCTGAGGACCGTGGTATGCTTACCTGCACCTGCTCAGGAGCCTTGCACGCCTTTTCCACTCACTTAGCTTTCACAGACTGCTCCTTCTGTTTGTAGTGGCTACCATTACCCTACCTTTCCTCCCCCTGTTTATGTATGTGTTCCCTCTGCATCCCCAGCCTGCTAGACTTGTTTTCAGAAGACACTACTCTGACACACTGGGAGAGCAGCACTTTTCAGTTTGGGTTCTTGGCCACCAGCCTCTACCCTTCTATGACATTCAGTGGAGGCTGCAGAAACTGGTGTGTTATAATAGAAAACATTTTTAGAAACATTGTCAATGCTTTTTTTTTTTTCTAACAGAAGTTACTTGTTTTTTCACTAAAAAAAAAAATACATAGTGTACATAGTTCCAAATTAAAGTACCCTGCCTTTGTTTGTTGTGAGTTAAACCTAGGTAAACACACACACACACACACACACACACACACACACACACACACACACACACACCTTTGAGCTCATACAGAGTTGGAATTTGTACAGTAGTGGCCATCCTCTGAGCATCAGTATGTAAGGGGCCACACAGGGCTGGGGGCCACAGCTCGGAGGAGGAAATCTACCTAGCATATGTGAAACATGTGAAACCCCCGGAAGACAAAAAAACAATGGAGGAAAGAAGGAAGAGCAAGCTCAGAGATGTTCTCCACGTTCCAGGGTCACCCATCAAGGTTCCAAACTTCTATTCCACAATTAGTTTCTTCAGGAATACATTTTCTTGAAATGACTCACTCCGAGAACAAGAACCGAAATTACTAGTTATGGGATGTTTCAAGTTTGAACCCCAGGGAGAACATCACTTCTGGACAGGAAGTCAAAGTGGGCAGTTAGTTCTGTTAAGGTCTGTGTCTGTAGACAGGCAAGGATGCTGATGAGCATAGGTTTGCCACTAAAGCCTCCCTGTCTGACCCACTGTTTGGAATTCTTTGACCGTCCTCTTCATAAACACAGAGGTTGTCCCCTCTTGCTCAGTTAGCCATGAGAGATCTCTTACAGTTTCCCTGACAGGGATCCCCAGTGGTAAACATTTTTCTAGTACTCTATTCATTCCCTTTCAATAAAAGCTAATAGAGAAGCAGTCCCAGGAGAGTTTACAGACACCGGGGCTATGGCATGCACGCATGTACACACACATGTACACACACATGTACACACACACACACACACACACACACACGACGTGCAAATATACATATCGGCAAGACATCACTCAAAAAGTTCTAGACGCTGTGGGGTGAGTCCCTTTCTAAAATGTTATAGTAAGAAAAAATGAGACTGAAGAATTTAAAAGTAAACCAGAATTCATTTATGGGAGTGGAGATAATCTGTCCACCACAGCAAATATGAGCTGTGCCTTCTACTTTAATACCCCATAAAAAGGGGAAGATAGAATATGGGGAAAGGAAATGGGCTCAATACGAGTAGTTAAAGACAAACATATTTTCACACAAAGGTGGAAATAAATGTGGTCATTTTGTATCTGCCTTGCACACTTTTACCGAGCATGTAAAAATGGCTGCAGGTGAGAACATGGCCTTGTGCTCTCTCCCTGAGCAGTTTGTATGTGGAGGATTTTTTAGTTCCTGTTTTCATCGATTGCTGCTTTTCTGGCAACTTACTGGAATCATGTGTAAGTGTGACCCTTGTCTGTTTGGGAGAAACAGCCAGATAAATGACAGGGAGCCCGGATCCCTCCTTCTGTCGGTGGCATAGTTGCCATTTGAAGGTAGGAACATGAGTAAAACTGCTTCCTTTTACAGCAGGAGTCGCTTCTAGCAACTAAAATACATCAACACATCATCAAGACAATTACAACCCGAGGAATCACAAGGATCCAGGGCACTGCCCAGTGATAGGATGGTGCAATTGTATATGTATCTCCTTGGGAACCCAGCATCAGATAAACCCCTGAAGTGCTTAGGGGAAGTGTAGGCATGGGCCATTATATTGAACTACCTCGAGCACACATCAGTCATTGCGTTTTAATGAAGTGAGTGTTTTTATATTACAAATCAATTAAGATGTAGAGGAGAGTTAGCGTTCAAAATGGCAAATCCCTATCTTCAACGGAATCAGTTAGAGGGTTTGACTTTCCCTCTTAGCAATGGAGACAAAGAGATGGTATGGTGATTGTGTGTTCTTCAGAGAAATAATCCAAAGAAATAGAAGCTTTTTTTCAAGTATTTAAAGACTTAAAAAGCATCATGAGGAAAAATAGTTTCATTTCCAATATAGCCCAAATCAACTTTATCTTTACAAGCCAAGTTGCAGCAATCCAAATTTTCAAAATATGAGGAACTGGGGGCGGGGATTTTTAGCAGAGCACCCAAACACCGCTATTCCCACTGCTCTTCAGAAGCCATGCGTTAGCTTGTTCTCACAGTTTTGAGTTGGGAACTTCAGCTCAGAGCAGCACAATCACAAAGGCCAAGGTTAGAAGTCCAAGGGACCTCGTGGATTTCCTTATTCAGTATGGTGGCTATCTGTAGGTATTTTCCATTATAGGATGAGAAAAGTCTTGATCTGATCAAGAGGGCTTGTTCCCTAGAAAGGATGAGTAACTACCCAGAGACCACTGAGAATGGTGGTATTTGCCATGTGGACTTCAGTGAATCCCAGACAGTTCTCTGTAGGAGCCGTCTGCCTTCACAGGGAGTGCTTCCCGTGATTCCAAACTGAGCCTGTCTGTGGCCTCTGACCAGCCTCTCTTTATTCACAGCCGTGTCTTCACCATCATCCTTCACGATGAAAACAAATACGCTGAGCACGTCGGTGCCGAATTCCTACTACCCAGGTAACAGATTCCCTACCGTCTCCCATCCTCACCACCTTTGGCAGCTCGTGAACGTTTTTTTGCTTGATGATATCATAAAGCCAAGGCTTCCTATGGCTTTCCTGGGGAAATTGGGGGACCGTTCATCAATCATTTACTGTTCTTTCTCTTTTTACTTTCTCTGCGTTGCCCTGCTTACGATGTATGACAGACCCATTTGTGCCAACTGCAATTTTAGGTGAGAATAATCCCCTTCCCCCAAGTTTACTTCAGGAGTGACTGAGAAAAATCAGCATCACTCTAGAGGAGACTGGAGTTTTAACTGTGCATGATACCATGGCTAGAAGCGGGGCATGGGGGTGCAATGGGGCCAGGGGCATGGGGCAAGGTGATGCGTCTTCCTCTGAAGTCTCTATTGGTAGGAAGGGTTTGCTGCATGTGGGGGTATGGCAATACCTAAAGGTTTCAGGGAGCAATTCCAGCTCCAGGGCTCTCCCTTTCTGTGTTCAGAATTGAATGTTAGTGCTGGTCCCAGGGGAAGACAAATGACACGTCACCGCTCAGCTGTGTACTTCCAAGAGCTGAATTCTGTCCAATATGACAGTCATAAAAGTGAAAATAGCTTCTCATTATTTTCACTTATCTCTCTAAGCACCGAAATTGCCAGTTTCAAAAAATAGCATTTTCCTAATGATGCCCCCCGCGTTATGTAGTGTAGTGATCACAGTGGGGTCTAGACCTCCCACCCATCCGCCCTGGGCACCCCTCAGCAACATGTCTGTCACACAGTGGAATTTTAAGGGAACTGATGTTCTGAACAGCGGAATGACAGGCGGGCGCTTTATCATCGTGTGGTTTATTACGTGTCAGATGCCACAAGAAATGAACTGAAATGTTAGCCCAATGGGGCAGAATGCATTTAAAGTATGAAATATTCCCAGCAGGGGGTTACAGGGGAAGGAAAAAAAAAGAAGTCCCGCTTGTACAGTTTAAGAAGGGTGAGGAAAAATGGCATTACCTGCCTGTGATGAGCAAATAAGCATGGGCTGCTGTGGCATTTGAGACGCATAAGTAACCCGAGTGTGTCCGGCTGTGTCCTCTTTCTACTACTAACCGTGTGGAAGGGAGCACACCCAAAGCGACTTCCAGGTATAGAAGAGTTCTTAGAGCCAGAGCATCATCCTCCCTTCCACTTCCTCTTCCTGGCTCTCTTCACTAGGCCTCAGTACCCCCAGCCAGGACTCCCCGCTGTGCTTCTGGGTTCTCAAAAGTTGTTAGATTTCCAAGGAGAGGGTAATTTTCACTTCATCCCAGAGTCCTCTGGGCTTAAGCAAGTTGGTTGCCTAAGGAACAAAAAATGAACTAAGATTACGTATGGAACAGAGTATTTGAAGTGAGATTATCCTGAGGTCCAGTACAGCCCCCACACAGGTTTAAGCACCAACCATAAAGGGGGACGCTCTGCTTTATCCTTCTCACAGGTGAGGGCATAGTCTCACTTCATGCACACTGACATTCTGATCTCCAGGCAGAGACATTTGTGAAGTCACTGGGTAGGCGAAGGTTGTGATGTCTCTGTGTTGCTGTGGCATTCATACCCCAGGTTTCTCTGTGGATGTTCTGATCCTGAAGGAACTGTGGGTAGGAAGGGCTGAGACATGCATTGTCAAAGGGAAAAATACATTCAGATTTCACAGCAGGGTTAAGATAAGCTTATTAAACAAAGATCATTTCTCCAAAGGCACTGCCTTATTATTAGGAACATTAATGACATCCTTTGAAGCTGGCTAGGCTTCTTTTCTGAGAGAGTATGACTGGGACAGTCAATTCAAGTTTCAAAATGGTGTGAAAAAAATAAGTCCGCCAAATGCAGAAGTCACCATTTCCTGGTATAATCTGTGTAGCAGAAACCAGAGGAATAAGTGACAGTACATTGGAAACCATGGTAGAGTCCTGTGATCTGGTGCACTGTGCATCTGCATATTGCTGGAATCAGATCAGTGAGGTAGGTTATCCCTGGAAGCCACAGGAAAATGAGCTTTGTGTTTACTCTGGTCCTTTGCAGGGATGGGAGCCATTACAGTTTACATGGAGACAAGGACTATTTTGTTAGGAGACGGAGTTCAGCACAAATAAAGCTCTAGTGCCTTAATATTTCTTTTTCACATGCAAAGACCCTGTTCTCATGGAGAATTTAATTATATCTTTGCCTCATTTGCTTACAAAGATGAAAGGATGGATGGATGGATGGATGGATGGATGGATGGATGGATGGATGGATGGATGGATGGATGGATGGAGCCAGATAGATAATAAATGATTAATCCTCCTCCATCTCAAAATACAGCATGCATTCCAAGTCGGTATTTTTCAGCTAATCCTTAATGAATATAGAATTGATTTTTAATTCTCATAAAATCATCAGAACTGATATTAAGAAACTTTCCTTTCTGATTCTTACATCTAAGACATTTTTAATTTTAGAAAATTGTTGGTAGGTAATTTTTTTAAGTATAGGAAATGGGTGACATGGGATACTGTTTATCACTAATAAATCACTTCAAGCAACCAGAGAAAAATGATTGACAGCTCATTTTAGTAGGGTCAGGAATGTCTACCGGGAAAGGTGACCCACTTTCCTGACAGGTATGGTCCAAGATCCCTTAGCTCCCCTTGAACACATCTGTGCTGGACAACAGCTCTCTCTGGGAGGGAGGATGTAGTTGTGTGTAAGTGCTTGAAGAGGTATCCCATTCTAGAGACGAGGCCAAGGTGTCATCGTGCAATGGAGAAATATATACAACATTGGCAGCGGCTGTCGCTCTGTGGCCTTAAAACTCTTAAAAGACCCAGGCCGGGGATCAGAGCATCCCTAGGTTGCTGGTACATCCACTTGAAAAACCTGGGTCCTTTAGGTGGTATTCCATTCAGCCAGAATGAAAGGCAAATTAATTATATTCACTGCTCAAAATATAAAACGAAGAGAACAAGAGAGGCACAGAGGGGAAACTAATTAATGTTCCATTTCTTTTAGTATTTATACAGAACAGAGCTTTCTCCTAGAGAACTAAGAGCCCACTGGATTGAGTACCTCAGCAGGGGTCCTGCCACCCCGCTGATAACCCTTGGCAGTTGCCAACAAGCAAATCTGAGATGCAAATTTCCAGGGGGGCGGTATTGGTGACTATTAAAATGGGAACGTAGACATTGCTAAATTTCAAAGCAAATCCAAATGAAAAACAAAAACAAATCATAAACTCAGCTTACCACCCTTTTTTTTTTATTATTTCGTTTTTTGTGTCTTTAGCCGCCTTGTAGTGATTGGGGTGTCATTTCAGCAACAGCGACATAGCTCCACACCTGTGTGCCACCCTTCATACCATGCATCCCCAGGGGCTTTGCCATGCAGACAGAGCAGGGTTGCAGGACAGGCCCAGCTCACCAAGTTCCTCAAGACTGAGCCTTTCGGTAGAACAGTAACAAAAATCATTAGTGACCACTATGGCTGAAATCCCTGTGAATGCAGAATCTGGAATTCCCATCCTTTCTCATCTGTTTTTATTATTTATACATGAAATTGATTTGATATCTCCCTTTAAATGGTTTTTAGCATTGTGATTTCATAAAAAAAAAAATCTTCCCAGTTCATGGAACTACTAAAGGGATTCGGCGTTTTAAAGAGTTAACCCATAGAAGATGAAATTCATAATTGAATAGCCTTAATTGAACACATGTGCCTCAAATATTTTAATAGATAATATTTCTGCAGTTTATTAATCTAATTTGCTAGTCATCGCTCATTAAAGCAGAGCCTCTTTAGGCTTGTTTGGCCAAATTTTGACATTAATTTTCTAGTACAATTTGATTGGCTTTGCTCAAGAAATTTAAATGACAAATGAATTAAATACAAATAGCCTTTATTTAGTTATTTCTTGGTTCATGGGGGATGAAAAGCAATTACACAGTAATTTTAACCTCCTTTTTTTGTTGAGTGCTTAACTGAAACAACACCATCCTACCATGATGGGAGGGTTAAGGCTTTGCCGCCCTCGGATCACCTCTCAGTAGACAGTTTCCCTGAAGCCTGACAGACAGCGCCCAGTAGAAGTGCCTGTAGTGATCTGCACAGTACCGTTGCTTATGTCCTGTTTCCTTTTTCTCCTCCTCTTTCCTCCTGATATGTATCCGCTTTAAAGTGCCAATCAATGGTAAGTTCCCCAAACTCGCCCCTTGGAGAAGCTGCGGAGGGAGCGTGGGGGGGTGTGTCTTACCGTAGACTTGACGGAGCCAGTGTGCCACCCTGTGCTGGCCTGCATGTTTGCTGTCGTAGAACGTTCCGTGTGTGACGCGTTGGCCCACGGTGTTTTCGTTGAGCTTCCGGATCCCAGAGCATGCAAAGTGACTCATCCCAACATTCCCAGTACAAGTTCCTTCTTAGTGTTCCTCTCTCCTTTGATTTCCTGTACCCAGTGCCCATCCGCATTGCTAGCTTTATATGCCAAACCATTTTGTGCACTTTTCTTTTGCTCACAGAACATTTGTAGAGTTTATTTACTCCATTACACAAATTAATTCGCTGACATTTGGATGTGGACAAGCCTGGTTTGGCGCCAGGTCTTGATGAAGTTTCGGATTGAAACTTTTTACCAATTTTATCACTGAAACGCCAGAAGGCTCCTGTCAATGAGCTTTGCAGAAGCAATATCTCGTTTGGACTGCTTTGTAAGAGCAAAGATTCCCACCTCATTCCTAGCAGTATTGCCGATCCCATTTAGACCTACGAACATGCAACGTTTGATTTCTGGCTGAGCCGGCCTTGAACGGAGGGATGTCATCAGCCAGCTTGTTAGCATCCTGTGGTCCTGACTCAGCCTGATGGTTCACACTTCTTTTCTCCATCTTCCTTTCTAGATGAGACCCACACAATGGCCAGCGACACCAGCAGCAGCCTAGTTCAGTCCCATACATACAAGAAGCGCGAGGCTACTGACGTGCCTTACCAGACTGGACAGCTTCACCCGGCTATCCGTGTGGCAGACCTCCTCCAACACATCACTCAGATGAAGTGTGCTGAGGGCTATGGCTTCAAGGAGGAGTATGAGGTGAGCCTGGGCTAGGTGATGCCTGGCAACATAGTAAACAAGCTGCATGGATCCCAGAGATGCCAGACTAGGCCCAGACACGGCATCTACTTGTGTTTTCCCAGGTGCTGGTGAGACTTACAACCAAGTTCATATGTGTTCAGCAGGAAAGGAAAAACATTTCCCTTTTACTTCCTGGTACAGAAACATGCGTTGGCCACAGGCTGTCGTTCCCCTCCTCCTGCTCAGTCATTTTCCTAAAACTAAGTTCAGTGTTAAATCCCAATTCTGAAGCTGTTTCAGGAAGCGAGTCCTCACTTAGAGCCACGATAGATCCACCAGTGAAGTGACACTGTGAAGAGTCAATGGAAAGGGGCTGGCGGTTGTCACAGCTCTAACTGCTCCAGAGTGCACGCTGCTGTCATGGGCGCCTGAGGGGACACCTGCCAGGGCCTTTTCTGGGACCATAACATCTTCCTACCGTACATAAAATGCAGGATTCTCCTCTTCCTCAGCTTTAGCATCAGCAAATTCTGCTAGAATCTCATTCTCCAACTGGAGGGAGCATTCTGACTTCAAGAACTTTAACTCAAAGTAGCACATTCCCCATTGAGCATGCGTGCAGGGGTGCTGTGCAGGTGTGGTGGAAGAAATAGGAAGATTGGGTTGATTTGTTTGTTTGTTTTGTTTTTCGAGACAGGGTTTCTCTGTGTAGTTTTGTGCCTGTCCTGGAGCTTGCTCTGTAGACCAAGCTGGCCTCGAACTCACAGAGATCTGCCTGGCTCTGCCTCCCAAGAGTGTGTGCAGGTATACTGTGCAGGTGTACGCCACCACCACCCAGCTGCTTCTTTATGTTAGTAGAATAAGCTTGGGGTCGTTTTTGAAGAGCATGACTTCTCACAATAGAAATAGAAGTACGCAGGAGTGGGTTTCTAAACTTTGGGATAGTCTTTGAATCAATCCCTTGTCTGTAGAATCAACTCACATTTTGGAACCATCTAATCTGGAACCAGAGTATTTTTTTTTTCTTTGTTAATTGTATCCTGACTTGTTATATTGTAGTTTTAACAGTGCTTACCCATAGTGCCCAAACAGAGGTGGTCTCTAGTCTGTCTCCATGTTGTCAGCTTTAAGACTCTCGGGTTCTGGCTGAATAACTTGGTGGAAAACAAAACACTGCAGTTTCATAGACTGCTTCATCCAAGTCCCAGCCTCCACTGTTAGCAATTGTGAAGCATTTTATGAGTCAAGTGGTGTGTACCACACACTGGAAATGTGGGAAAGAATAGCAGTATATGGATATAAGCAGACTTTATAAAAGTTGGTGCCAACTTTTGGAGGAGATAATGCACGGGATTAATGATTTCATGCTTTGCTTTTTTTTTAAATTAAGAAAACATTTTCATACAATATATTCTGATCATGCTTTTCCCTCTCCTGGCGGCTCTCAAATCCTCCTCACCCCAACTCTGTGCCCTTTCTCTCTTTCTTTAAAAAAAAAAAAACAAGAAACATACACACACAAAAATGGAAAGCAAAATCTATCAGCAAAAGAACAATAAGATAAAAATTGTCCAAACAAAACAATATGAGAAAGAAACACCATTGAGTTTGTATTGACCAACTATTACTGGGCATGGGGCCCACCCTCAAATGGTTAATATATCCAGTGAGATGCCACTGGAGAAAACTAGGTTTTCCTTTGTAAGCAGTGTCAGTCACAGACAACTTCTTGCTTAGGAGTGGGAGCCCATGTCTACATCCCCTTGCAGCCCCAGGCCCCCAACTGGCTTGAACCTGTGTAGGCCCTGTGCATGCTGTCACAGTCTCTGTGGATTCATATGTATCTGGAAGATATTGTTTCCTTCCTGCCATCCGTCCCCTCTGGACTTCCAATCTCCCCACCTCCTCTTCTGCATAGCTCCCCGATGAAGACATCCGTTTAGCGCCGAATGCTCCAGAGCTGTCCAGCTGTGGGTCTCTGTGTTAGTTCCCTTCTACTGGAGGTTCTCTGTTGCTGGCTGAGCCAGGCACTTAAGTGTGAGTATAGCAGAATGTCATTAAGGGTCATTGTGTTATTATGTTTTTCTGGCAGCACGTTCGTGTTTGTTTTTCTTCTAGGCCCATGGTCTATGCAGTCTCAGGTTCTTGGCTCCTCTGCCAGGGTCAGAGGTGGGTTTCATTGCGTGGAGTGGGCCTTGAATCCAGAGAGACAGTAGCTGGTTACTTCTACAACCTTGGAACTAGTGTTAGAGTGTTATAACCATCAGTTGCCTATGCGTGTCAAGCAGTGCTCTGTGCCTCACTCTTGGCCACTCACGGTTCTTCACTTTGGACCCAGTGCTGCCTAGCCTTAGGCTGAGCTCTCTGTCCAGCTTGATTATCGAGACCCACCGCACATGGCACCAATAGCAGCTGAAGCACAGCTGTTCTTAAGCATAGACCCGTCGTCCAAAGCAGACATAGACCTGCTGTGCCCAGCCAAGCAGTCACCACCTGGTCTGGTGCCAACGATCTGAGATCAGAAGCCTGCAAAGCCACGGGAACCAATCTCAACTGTGTCCCTGGAGTTTTGTTTCATTCCAGAACATTTTCAGATGAAGCTCCACATTTCAGCAGCCCTGAAATTCTCAGCTTTACCCTTAGCGGTTCAATGTATAATTCAGTGAAATTGACAGCCTTTGCATATTGCTTCATGCACTTTTAAAGGGTAGCTTAGGAATTAATAGGATTAAGAGTAAGACTTCCAAAAGCATTAATATCTTATGAAAGACAAAATTAGGTTATTGAGAAAATATAAGCCTAATGAATAGAGATGATGTCTTAGTTCTAGCCAATTCTCTGCATGCAGATATTGCTCAAATGTTTATTAAAGATGTTAATGTCAAAGAGATTAGTTATAGGCTCAAATAACAATTCATAAAATAGCTGAGTCCAATTTTTCATGGACTATTTAAAAATACCTACCTTGTGACTTCTGTAACAAACTATGGGCAATGCATATCTGAATGTATGCAAAATTACTTCCCATTCCAATCTCCTGAAGACATTTGATCTGCAGGTGCAAACTAGGATATCTTACAGCTCACTTTAAACATTCTCTGATTGACAACTCATTAAGATGTGTTATACCTTAAAATAAAATGCTATTTGTTGATGCATTTCAAAAAAAAAACTTCCTCTTTCATGCTACCCATCCAGTGATCATGGAAGATGATTTTAAAGCAAATACTCTGAGTCTCAAATAAATAATAATTTTTTTTAAAAAGGAGAAAAGAAAATGTGAAAATATATGAAAAGAAAGCAAAGGGAAAGGAGCTATGGAGCAAATACAAAATGGAAAATTCCATTAGGAATAATCCCATGCCCCAGTACCTCACCCCTTGCCCCATCTTTCATTACAGAGCATGCTAGCATTGGTCTGGAGCAATGGTATTGGGTAGATGAACTTATACAGTTTTGCAGGGGGAAATGCCTTCTAAGTATCAGCTCACATGAGGCCTCAGGTCCTGGCCATTCCTCACTTCATCTCTATCACCCAATTACTTGAGTTTTGTGGCCAAGTCTGTAAAATGAGTAAAACCAAGCTTTAGGAAATTGAGAATCTGCTGAGAAGGACTGCTCTGCAATATTCTTGTTCTGTTTTCCCTAAACCCAGGCAGTCTTCATCCTAGTGCGGATAAGGAACATCTTCAAATGGTAGCTTTTTAAATGCAGTTGCTGTGCTATGTCAACTTGACACAGGCTAGAGTCTTCACTGAGAAGGGAACCTCAACTGAGAAAATGCCTCCATAAGATTAGGCTGAGAGCAAGCCTGTGGGACATTTTCTTAAATAGTGATTGATGGGAGAGGGCCCAGCCCATTGTGGGTGGTACCATCCCTCGTTGGTGGTCCTGGGTTCTATAAGAAAGCAGACTGAGCAAGCCATGAGGAGTAAGCCAGTAAGCAGCACCCCTCCATGGCCTCTGCATCTGCTCCTGACTCCAGGATCTTGCCTGTTTGAGTTCTTGGCCTGACTTCCTTTGGTGATGAACAATGATATGGAAGTATAAGCCAAATTGACCCTTTCCTCCCCAAGTTGCTTTAAGTCATGGCATTTGTCATAGCAATAGAGAGCCTGCCTAAGACAGCTAGATTTAGAACTGTGACAGGATTTAGCCCCCTCTCTCATGCCTTGAACTGTGTGTGTTTCCTAAGAATCTTGAGCAAGTTGTCTATCCTCAGCAGCCCTCAGTTTCTTCATCCATAAAATGAAGTTACTCCGATATCAGCCCTATGAAATGTTGTGAAGATTTAGTCACATAATAGACCGTAAGGACTAAAATTTTATCTAGTATACAGTAAACATTCATTTGAAGTATTAGTGAGGTTAAGAAAAAATAACTTTAATAACAAGATTCAAGAGAAATTTACATTGTGTTCTTTATACAGAAATTGTATGATAGTAAGGTTTGAGCCCATTTCTGTCATGTCCTTTTAACATTTTTGTTGGCATATTTTCATTTGCATAGTGGTGCAAGATATTTTCATTCAAATATATCTGTGCATTGACCATATTTGCCCCCTGTACCCTTTTCTTTCTCTCTCCTCTACCTCTCACTCGTTCCTTTCATTTTTCCAGATGGTCATGTTTCTATGTTCATATATTATACACACATATGTGTGTATATATGCATATATAGGATCCATACATAAAAGACAAGAGCTACTTGTATTTCAGAGTCTGGCTTATTTCACTTATCACAGTGATTTCCAGTTCTATACTGGCATTTTCCTACAAGTGGTATAATTTCATTCTTCTCCATGACTTAATAAAACTTCTAGGTACACACACCACGTTTTTATCTAGTCACTTGTTGGTGAACACCTAGGCTGCTCCTTTCACTCTGCTGTCATGAATGGTACAGCAATAAACATGGATGTGCAGGATCTCTGTAGTGTGCTGGCTTTGAGTCCCCTGGTATAGTCTCAGGAGTGAGGTGATGTAGCTGGATTATATCGGTGATTCTATTTTTAGTTT